GTGGTGTGTGTGTGTGGTGTGTGGTGTGTGTGGTGTGTGTGGTGCGTGTGGTGTGTGTAGTGTGTGTGTGTGTGTGGTGTGTGTGTGTGGTGTGTGTGGTGTGTGAGGTGTGGTGTGTGTGTGTGTGCGTGCGTGCGTGCGTGCGTGCGTGTGTGTGTGTGCGTGAGTGTTTCTGTGTGCGGTGCGTGCGTGTGGAGAGAGAGAGAGAGAGAGAGCATTGCTTGGGCCATAAGGTCTTCTAGATATCGTTCCCCCTCTTCTCCTTTCCACATCAATCTCCTCCCCCCCCTTGTGCGCTCGCGTGCCCCGCGGCCGCGATGCGCTGCCCCCTTCTTCCTGGCCCTTCAGCCCCAGACTCCCGAAGTCATGCCTTTTTCACGGCGGCGACCCCCAGAGCTCTGCACCCATTCCCCGGGACCTGCTTTTTTCATCCCGAGCCGTTGTTTTACGATCCCGGGGCCCGGCGCGGGCCCCCACCAGGCCGAAAGAAGGAAAAAACCGTCCGCCGAAATTTCGGGGGCGGAAAAGAGGGGGGGGGGATGGCTAGGGGGGGGGGGGGGGGAATTTCATGGCGCGGGCATTATTTTTCCTTCGATTCATGGCGCCTCTTCTTCTTGTTTTATCACGTCCCAGGCCCCCCCGCTGGGCCGCGCACATGCCGCCGGTCATGATTTGCCCCCCCCCCCCGCTTGGACACCCCCCTCTTGGCCGCTCCCGAAAATTCTTTCACGACGCGAGGGGGTGAGGGTTTGGCGCGCCCGACCGCCCCTCTGTCCGCAGCTGCTCGCTGCCACGCGTGCCGCGCCGCGGCCGCCGCGCCGCGGCCGCCGCCGCCGCGGCCGCCGCCGCCACGGCCGCCGCCGAGGTCGCAGCGGCGGCCTCGGCGGCCTCGGTGGCCCACGCGGCCGCGGCGCGACGGCACCCCGGTCGCGCGGCAGGCGAGGAAGGTGGAGCCCCAGGGCGCGGCGCTGACTCCGCTCCACTGCGCCTGGCTCTCCCTCCCCTCCGCCTCGGCCCGCCCGCCTCGGCCTGCGCAGCTGAGGACCAGACGAAGGCGGACGAAGCGAAAGCTCACTGGAGTTGTCGTCGCCCCGCTGACCTCCTCCTCCTCCTCCTCCTCCTTCGCAGCCTCCTCCTCCTCCTCCTCCTCCTCGACCTCCTCTCGCTCTCCCTCCTCCTCCTCCTCCTCCTCCTCCTCCTCCTCCTCCTCCTCCTCCTCCTCCTCCTCCTCCTCCTCGACCCGCTGCCCGGTGCCTCTCTGGAGTTGTCGTTGCCCCGCTGGCCGTGCGCCGCCGGCGCCGCACGCGCGGCTGCTGCGGGGCCCTGCCGGCGCTCGGCGCCAGCGGCCCGCGGGCCCAGGAGCACGCCGTGGTCAGGCAGTGGCGAATCGTCCTGGCTCGCCTATAATCCCAGACCTCCTCGCGTCGTGAAAAAATCACGACGGGAGGTTTTTCGCTATTTTCGGCTTCCGGGGGGCCCTCGCCAGGCCTCGGGAGCGTCAAAAAACGACTCAAGACGAAAAACCGGTCCCGGGGAAGGGGTCGGGACCTCTGGGGGTCGACGTCATAAAAAAATCATGACGTCGGGGGTCTGGGTAATTAGGCCTGCCAGAGAATGATCTAGGAACATTTTGTGGTCTGCACGAGGTGTCCTCAGGACACTTCTGGCGGGGACTGTCTTGTTTTAGTGCATCGGGTCTGGGTTCTGAGAACATTGCTCTGGTCCTCGATATGTTTTCCCCCAACCAGTGCTTGCACTGAAGGGGTCCTAGCGGGAGTTGAAAGATTTGGCGAAAGTTCCCCGCCGAACTTGGTAGCGAGCTGGGTTCCCGGGTTCCCGGTTCCGGGTTCCCAGGCTCCCGGTCATTGGTTCCGGGCCGACTCCGGTGGGTTTTCTGGGCTCCCTTGCTCCGGGTCCCCGGTCGATCTTCACAGCGAAGACCATCCATTGATTGGGTTTTTTCATTGGTGTACAGTCAACGCGCCTAGTAAGGACGCGCGCCTTCATCTAGGATACCCTTGCGTCCGTGCCTCTGTGGCCCGTCCTTTGCCGTTTTCACTGGTCGCCGCCGCCCAAAAAAAAATCCAGCTTCAGCCTCCAAGGGCCTTGCGTCCTTACCACGCGTCCTTGATATTCGTTTTGACCCCAGACCCCCGACGTAATGATTTTTTCGTTACGTCGACTCCAGAGTTCTCGACCCCTTCCCCAGGACCGGTTTGTCATCCTGAGTCGTTTTTTGACGCTCCCGAGGCCCGGTGAGGGCCCCCAGGGGCCGAAAATGGCGAAAAACCTCCCGTCGTGATTTCTTCATTACTCGAGGGGGTCTGGGGCTGCACTTTGGTTCTAAGAGCACGTCGTGGCATAGGTCTGCGGGAATGCCGAGGGGCGGGCGGCCCCTGCTCCAAAAAGGCGGCCTGCGACACGCACGCCCGCGGGCTCGGACCTCCGACGTGCCGGAGAGGTCGAGGCTGAGCTCGGCGCCGCTCGGGCGCGCGCAGAGGTTTCTCCCCGAGCGCAGTCCACGAATGGTTCGCAGAGCCCAGACCTCCTCGAGTCATGAAAAAATCACGACGGGAGGTTTTTCGCTATTTTCGGCCTCTGAGGGCCCTTACCGGGCCTCGGGACCGTTAAAACACGACTCGGGATGAAAAACCGGTCCCGGGGAATGGGTCTGGACCTCTGGGGGTCGCGTCATGAAAAAATCATGACGTCGGGGGTCTGGGAGTGGAGGAGGAGGAGGAGGAGGAGGAGGAGGAGGAGGAGATGGGGAGGTCCCAGCCTCACCTGCCGCAGCGCCGGCGGAGCACTCAGCAGCACCGCAGACGGCAGAAGCAGTTAGCCTACATCGAGACGACGCCGGAGCCTGCCCGCAAGCGTCCGGAAGCCACGCGCGTTCGCCCCGGCGCAATGGATCGTAAGTCCCACGCGGCGCGTCTGGGGCATTTGCGAGCAGATGCTCTGCGAGTGGTGCCCAGACCCCCTCGAGTTATGAAAAAATCACGACGGGAGGTTCATTATTTTTGGCCTCTGGGGGCCCTTACCGGGCCTCGAGGCCGTCAAAAAACGACTCAGGACGAAGAACCGGTCCCGGGGAAAGGGTCCAGACTTCTGGGGGTCGCGTCATGAAAAATTCATGACGTCGGGGGTCTGGGTGGAGCGCGCTTGTCTATTTTCTCGGCGAGGACCATCGAGGAGCATCCTGGATCATCGCGCGACAACGCACGAAGCAGAAGAACAGATGCACGGGGAGTGGACGTCCGAGCGATGGCAAGTGAGGTGTTCTCAGCTTTCTGCCTCCAGGGGCCTTCGCCGGGCCCCAGAAAATTCAGAAAACCGCTCAGGATGAAGACCCGGTCTTGGGGAAGGGTCGAGGCTTCCAAGGACCCCACATGAAAATGCGCAGAGTTTGTTGGGGGTTTTGGATCGGCACGCCCTCCTCATCTTCCTCCTCCTCCTCCTCCTCCTCCTCCCCCTCCTCCTCCTCCTCTTCCTCCTCCACCTTCTCCTCCTCTTTTCCCCCGCTTCCCGAGTCTGGGGCCATTGCAGGTTTTTGCTCTCTTTGCCGTGCGGTCGACATCGATCGGCAGATTTTCGGCCACGCTCGCAGGACAGCCTTTTGAGCTGGATTGGGCAATCGTTCTGGTCGACATCGATCGGCAGAGTTTCGACCACGCTCGCGGACAGTCTGTTCAGCTGGATCGTGCAATCGTTCTGCATGGCTCCTCTGTCAAACAACAAAGAGCTACTGTCTTTCTTATTTGGCCTCCCAGATGGGGTCTTAGCAGATGGGATCACAGGATCGCGCCGCATCGCCGATGCATCGGCGATGCGGCTCGATGTTGAGCCCAATGTTCTCCAAGCAGTTGTCGCCGATGCATCGCCAACGTCACCGATGCATCGGCGATGCATATCCTTCGACCCCAAGTACTCGGACCCCATTCAGGATGCGGGCAATACTTATATCCACATCCAGTGCGTCTTGGATTCTTGGGCTCTCTTCCCCAGAAACCGTAGACGCACTGGATATGGATAAAAATCTGGCCCCAAGAGGCTTGATTTTATCCATATCCAGTGCGCCTCGGCGTTGCGGCACCTCTTCCCAAAAAGTCCACGACGCTTTGGATATGGATATAAGTACTGCCCGCATCAGGAGGCCTCTAGTCTTGGAGCGCACGGGACCCAGACCCCCGGCGCCATGATTTTTGTCATAGTGCCGACCCCCAGAGGTCTCGACCGTTCCCCCGGACCGGCTTCTCATCCCGAGTCGCTTTTATGACGGCCCCCGGGGGCCGGCAATCGATCGACGACATGTAAGAGTGACCCTTCGCTGGAGTGACCTGTGGTGCGGGATCACTGGGGCCGCCCCCCGATCGCTGAGCGCGACGCGCTAGCAGCGGCCTGCGCGCCTTGGTTTGGCCCCCTCGCGCCCCCCAAAAGCCGCGCACCAAAGGTCACTCTTACCCTGGGTCACCTCTTGCGTCTAGCCGACCCAGACCCCCAACGTCATGATTCTGTTCATGACGTCGACCCCCAGAGGCCTCGACCCAGTCCTCGGGACCGGTTTTTCCTCCTGAGCCGTTTTTTTGACGGTCCCGAGGCCCGGCAGGGCCCCCAGAGGCCGAGAATATGGAGAAACCTCCCGTCGCGACTGTTTCGCGACGCGAGGGGGCCTGGGGAGGTTTAAGGGCCTCTGGCGGCCGACACTGGCGAGACACCTCCCGTCTCGTCTTCGTCCTGGCCCGAGGGCGGCTCTCGCGGCCTGGGGAGGAGGAAGGAGGAGGAGCAGGAGGGACGAGGACGGGGACGAGGACGAAGAGGAGGAGGAGGAGGAGGAGGAGGAGGAGGAACGAGGACGAGGACGAGGAGGAGGAGGAGGAGGAGGGCGGAGGAGGAGGAGGAACGAGGACGAGGACGAGGAGGAGGAGGAGGAGGAGGAGGAGGAGGAGGGCGGAGGAGGAGGAGGAGGAGGAGCCCCTCCCCCCGCCCGCCCCTGGGCCGAGGACTGGTGCTGCAACCACGGCCACGTGCAGTGCCCGGCGGAAGTGCTGCTGGCCAGCGGGGCAGGGGCCCGCGCGCCTGCCCCGAGCTCCGGCGACGTCCAGACCATGGTCTCGGGCCGGACGAAAGGGGGGGAGTGGGAAAGGGGGGGTACGAAATTCCCAGACCCCCTCGCGTTGTGAAAAAAACACGACGGGAGGTGTTTCGCTATTCTCGGCCTCCAGGGGTCCTTACCGGGCCTCGGGGCCGTCAAAAAACGATTCAGAACGAAAAACCGGTCCCGGGGAATGGGTCGGGACCTCTGGGGGTCGCGTCATGAAAAATTCATGACGTCGGGGGTCTGGGTTTGCTGCATGCAGCTGGTTTTGGCCTCACCGAGGGGCCCATTCCTCGATACATAGCTCCATCCGGCGCCGGGAGGCGCCGGGAAAATCAGCCACGTGAGCTGATTCTCAGACCCCCCCTTTGCTATCCCCCTCTTTCGCCCGGCCCGATTGTCTCGTCTAAAGTCGGGCCTGTTCCTCTCCAGGGGGAATATTCAAAACTAATAAGAAAATAGTCCGGGGACTATTTTTTTAGCATTTGTTGACCATCTGCGAGTATTGTTTGACTATTTTCAATGTTTCGTCCAAAATCCCCCTGTAGAAGGACAGGCGCGACTGAAACATGGTCTCGTCGGAAAAAAATCAGGACGGGAGGGTTTGGGGCGTCTTCGGCCTCCGGGGGCCCCCGCCGGGCCTCGGGAGCATTAATGAAGAACGACTCCGGATGGACGACCGGTCTCGAAGAAGGGGTCGAGACCTCAGGGGGCCGACGTTAAGAAATCATGACGTCGGGGGTCTGGGGAGGGAAGTAACACGCAGACGCAAATAATCGTCGCTTCCCCGATAAATGTGGGAAACAGTGGGACGTGGTAGGGGGGGGGAAGACGAACATCCCGAAAACATGGGAAAAGATAGGGGAACCCTGGGATTGTGTATATATATATATTTATATATATAAAAAAGTGTGTCCATGTCTCCTTCTAGACACGATTTGACCCCCTGATTTTCGGGCGCCCTCGTCGTTTCCTATGGGTCCCTCTCGCCTCGGGACTCTCCAGCGGGCCTCCCAGAGCTCCGACGATATAGGCGTTGTCCCATGCTTTTCTGGAGTTCTCGCCGCTTCCTGGGGGCATTCTCGCCTCGGGATGCTCTCCAGCGGCTGCGCCCCGTCGAGGGCGTTCACGGGGGTGCCAGATTCGGCCCAAACGGCCGCCAGAGCCCGAGGTACGGCTTGAAAACCGATCCTCCTCCTCCTCCTCCTCCTGCTCCTCCTCCTCCTCCTACTCCTCGCTCCTCCTGCTCCTCATCCTCCTCGCTCCTCGCTCCTGTGTTTTTCTTCGACTGCGGCCCACGGGGGGCCGTTTGGGCCTCGGGAGAATCAGGCACGGATCCGGGGCGAGAAATCATCCCCAGGGAAGCCGTCAGGACCTCTGGGGCCGCGGATTGGAGGAGGTCACATCGGCGGTGATCAGGGCTGCTGGCTCTGACTCTTGCGTTCCTCGCCCTTGGGTGTTCGGGGGGGGGCCCCTCGTCGTCACGGCCGGGCGCGACTCGGAACGCTGGTCGGGATTTGAGTCGGGGATCGACTACAGAATTGATTTGTCCCAAACTGGTTGTCCACGTCGAATCTACCCTGAATGCGTAGAAGGCTCGTAGATCCACACACACGTTCTACGCGTTGCTCCTGGACTCGAAGAGAGAAATCAAGCCTGTCGTAAACCAATCCTGTGGTCGACCCTTGCTCGAGGGATGGGCCGTGGAAGGGATCGATGGGGCCGGTCCTGGGCGGACGTTGGTCGGGGGTCGGACGGCGCGCGATGCGGAGCTTGTCGGCAAAGGCGAATGGCTATGGCAATGATTTTGCACTCCTCCTCCTCCTCCTCCTCCTCCTCCTCCTCCTGCTCCTCCTCCTCTTCCTCCTCCTCCTCCTCCATACGGTACATGTGGTACATGTCGGCATGGTGATGTTCTTCGTAGGGTCTTCACTTATTGTCCAATGGTCGCTCAAACGTTGTTCCGTGTTGATACCACGCGCCCTCCTCTCTGTGGAGTACCCTCCCGTGATGCGCGCAGCACATCTCTCTTCCAGGTGCCTCAGTGCATCTCCATCGCTTGCTGTGCTTCTCCTGCTCATGTGATCACCCCCGTGTGCTTCTCCATTCCATGCAGCTGCCTTCTGGCGATGGCTACAGGATGCGCAAGATGGGCAGAACGAAAGCAGTTTCTCAACGAAGCCGCTTAGAATCTCGAGTCCTGTCCTCGAATTTCGGCGCCCAGGTAATGTTTCAATGTTGTGGCTGACGGGTGAAACTGGGGTATTTTGCTGATGTTGCTGCATTACTCCTGCGCCTCCTCTTCCTCCGCATCCGCATCCGCATCCGCATCTGCCTCGCCTCCCTCTTTTTGCTGCTGCTGCTGCTCCTCTTTGCCCTCCTTCTCTTTCCCCTCGCCCTCCTCCTCTCCACCTCCTCCCCCTCCTGCTCCTGCTCGTCCGTATTCCCTCGCCCCCCGAGCTCCGCGTGGGCTGCGGAGCGGCCGGTGCACGTCCTTCCTGGGCGCTGCTCTGCACTGCAGTCGCTGCGAGGATTTCTTTCTCTGTCCCCCAGAGCGGCGGCGGAGGAGGAGGGAGGGAGGAGGAGGAGGAGGAGGAGGAGGAGGAGGACCTAGGAGGAGGAGGAGGACCCAGGAGGAGGAGGAGGAGGACCCAGGAGGAGGAGGAGGAGGAGGAGGAGGAGGAGGAGGAGGAGGGCGTCGGGGCTGGGGCGCACAACGGCGGCAGCGCCCCGCAGCGGTGGAGAGCGGCGCGGGGGCGCGCCGCGGGCGGGGGGCACAGGGCGGTGTGCGCGCCCTGCCAGGGCCGACGCCGAGAGGCAGCCCGCCGCAGGCGCCGACGTGCAGTCAAGACGCCAAACTTATGTCGGGCATGTTGGACCGCTCGGCCTCGAGCGACTTCCTGAGCTCATCCCATGCTGGTCCCACAAACTTGGCCACTGTGTGGAGCTGCGGGCCGCCCCAAACGCTCTCGGCGAAGCGCAGCGGCCGGAAGGACTTCCGAGCCGACAAACAAGCCCAAACCCTCGAACCTCGAGCCTCGAAGCTTCGTCTCCCACCCGGCCCCTTCGCACCCCGCCTGGCCTCCTTAGCGTTGCCAGGGGGGTTTTCGACGACAACTCAAAAATGCCACCGAAAGGTCTAAAAGATGCTCCAGAAATAGTAGGCTGTGTTTGGATTATCTGTCTGGCTATTTTTGGGGGGTGATTTTTGTTTCTCGTCGGAGATCCCCCCCCCTGTAGGGGGGGGGACAGGCCCGACAAAAACGCCAAACGAAGGGCCACGTCGGGCTCCCGAGGGGCTCCGGGTGTCGGGCCGCTCCTGGCCCGGAGGCTGGATACGCGCGTGGCGTGGGCGGCCTGCGCGAGGGCCCGATGCACGCGTGGCCACGCGCCTTTCCAGCCCCCGTCCCGTGCGCCTCGCGTGGCCAGGCGCGGTGATCCCAGACCTCCTCGCGCTGTGACAGAATCACGACGGGAGGCTTTTCGCTATTTTCGGCCTCCGGGGGCCCTCGCCGGGCCTCGGGACCGTCAAAAAACGACTCAGCATGAAAAGCCGGTCCCGGGGAAGGGGTCCAGACCTTTGGGGGTCGAAGTTGTGAAAAAATCCCGACGTCGGTCGGGGGTCTGGGATCCTCCACGTGTCCGTGCAGCAGGCGGCGTCCGCATGTTCCACGCGTGAACCCAGCCACGTGCGAGTCCAGCTTCCTGGTAGTTTTTGGTCGGCGAGCCCATTCGCGGGTTGGGTCGAGCGGGCCGCGGGTGGCTTCTTCGGCCAGTCGGCGTCGGCCTCGTCGTCGTCGTCGAACGGCCGGTCGCGCGCCAGGTTCCGGGGCGGGCCGTGGCGTGGGTCGCGGGGCGGGTCGCTCGGGCGGCAGAGCGCCCACCACTGCTCCCACCCAGCTGCCAGCACCGCCGCCTCCGAGCGGCCACCTCGCGGGAGCCGAGGAGGCACGCAGCCGCTGCAACACCTTGGCATCGCTCGGACGTGTGCATGTTTCCCTCGGCGAGGACTATCGAGGAGCATCCTTGATCATTTGGCGAGAAAAAAAAACGATGCACGAAACCGAAAAAAACACAGGGAATGGACGTCCGAGCGATGGCCAGACACCCGCCGCCCGCGGTTGCGGGCGCGGAAGGCATTCCCGGACCCGCTGGAGTCGTGACAAAGATCATGACGGGAGGTTTTCAGCCACGCGCGGAGGAGGATGGGGGCACGGGGCAGGGCTTCCTCAGAAGCACCGCGTGCATCTCAGACGGCTCGGGCCTCATCAACAGACGCAAGGCCCGCGCCTTCTGCGAAGCGGCCTCCTTCTGAGAAGCCGTCCCCCCTACTTACCCCCTGCCCCCTTGTGCGCGCCGCCAGCTTCCTCCCTCCTCCGCGGCCGCCCTCTTCTCTTCCGTCCGCCTTCGCGCCCCTCGCCCGGCGCGCCCCGCCGCTACCGGCCCCCTGTGCCTGCAATTGCCGCCACTGCCGGCTCAAACAGTTTTTGCCGGCTCGAGCCCCAGAGGTCTCGACCCCCTCCCTGGGGGCAGCCCAGCGCTCCCCGAGATCCGTCCTTGGCCGCCGCGGGGCCCAGAAGTCTTGCCTCGCCGCGCCGGGTTCGCGTCGTGCCGTCGCCCGGCGGCGACCCCGCCGAGGGCGTGCCAGGTTGAACGCCGCCAGTGGCCCAGAATCGGCCTGTGTGGAACGATCGGGCGATCGAAAAGCCGCCGACCGTTCAAGGTTGAACGATTCACGCAGTGTCAGAAACCAACGCCGGGGTCGTCGCGACACGAACCTGCCGTACCTCCCTCTCCAGGGGAGCGTTTTGGCGTCGCCCCAGGTCATGACCCCCCGGAGGTGGAGGCCTCCGGAGGTCGATCCCCGATCCTCGGCCGCCGTGGGCGAAATCCCAGTCAGACTTCGGTCCCCGATCGGCGCGAGCACGATCCCGAGCCTCGTCGATCCTCGGTCGGCCCGCGAGCGCCGATCGTCGATGCTCGACCGTCGGGGGCGAAATCCCAGTCACTCCTCGACTCCCGATCGGCGCGAGCACGATCCCCAGACCCCCGACGTCGTGATGTTTTCACGACGCGACCCCCCGAGGTCTGGACCCCTTCCCCGGGACCGGTTTTTCATCCCGAGTCGTTTTTTGACGGTCCCGAGACCCGGGGAGGGCCCCCAGAGGCCGAAAATAGCGAAAAACCTCCCGTCGTGATTTTTTCACAACGCGAGGAGGTCTGGGTCCCGAGCCTCGTCGATCCTCGGTCGCCGGTCCTCGGTCCGCGAGGGTCGGCCCTCGCGCGGTGGCGGCTCTCGGGCCGGATCCTCGTCGCGGACGATGCTCGAGGGTGAGCTGCTCGGCCCGCGTCCGGTGGTGGTGATCCTCGGCCCGCGGCCTCGGCATCGTCGAGCTTCGATCCTCGATTCGGGAGGGACAGAAGCACACAGGCACAATGAATCGTCGATTCCCCAGAACATATGGGAAAATATGGGGAACAGGGGGGAAGACAAAAACCGGGAAAAATATGGGAAAAGACAGGGGAATCCTGTTACTTGTGTGTATTTGTTTGTGTGTCCCAGGGCCCCTTCATCGATCCTCGTCGATCCTCGGTCCTCGGGCCTCGGTCCGCGAGCGTCGATCGTCGGCCCTCGCTCGTTGGCCCTCGATGCCCCGGCACGCGCTCTCGCCTCGGGCGGCAGGCGTTGGCGCCTGCGCTGACGGGGCAGCCGTACAAGTGTCACAAGGCCTCGCCGGGGCAGCCTCCCAGGGGAGGGGGTAGGTCCAGGAGGGGGAGTGGGAGGAGGAGGAAGGAGGAGGAGGAGGCGGAGGAGGGAGGGAGGAGGAGGAGGGAGGAGGAGGAGGAGGAGGAGCGAGGAGGAGGAGGAGGAGTCTCAGCGTCTCAGGGAGGAGGAGAAGGAGGAGGAGGAGGAGGAGGGAAGGGAGGAGGAGGAAGGTGGGAGGGTTGGTCCCAGGACGGGGGCAATGTAAGTTCTCCTCCTCATCCTCATCCTCATCCTCATCCTCATCATCATCATCATCATCATCATCATCATCATCATCATCATCATCATCATCAGAGTCATCGTCATCATCATCGTCATCACCATCATCATCATCATCATCATCATCATCATCATCATCATCATCATCATCATTCTTCCCTCCGTCTCTTCCCTCCTTCTTCCCCTCATCCTCACCCTCTCCTCCTCCTTCTTCTCTATCCCTCTTCCTAAAATAACTCTTCCCTGTCTCACCCCGAGACCAGTCGAAAGGGCAGGCCGGGCGTTTCGCCTGAGACATCCGCACCATTCTCAGATGGAGGGCGGGTCGTTTTCAGAATGTGGCTTTCGCTGTAAAGCCGCGCACATTAGTTTTTGAAGTTTGCAAGAGTTTCACGGATGGAGACGGTCCGTTTTCAAGATATGGTTCTCGCCTTAGCGCCGCGGACATTATTTGCGAAACGTTGCAAGAGCTTCACGGATGGAGGGCGGTCCGTTTTCAACATGCGGTTCTCGCTTTAGCGCCGCGGACACTCGTCTTGAAAGTTTGTAGCGGTTTCAGGGATTCGCATGGAGAACGTCCCAGGAATTGTGTTTTGGCACGACGTCGGAACGTCAGGGTGCAAGAGTCAGGTTAATTCGCGGTGTTGACGTCCCAGGATGGTGTTCTGGCACGATTCAGGATCGTCAAGACGCAGAGGTAACGGTGATACGCGGCGTTGATGCCCCAGGAATGGTGTTCTGGAACAGTTCTGGATTTTCAAACGGTTATTTTCCAACGGGGCATTGTTTTCAGTGAACATTAGTCTTTGTAGGGGTCTACAAAGAGGGAGCTTGGAGGGAGGGTGTACAAAAAGGTGTCGTTGGTGCGTCTTGGGCTTACACTGGTCCTCCTCCGCCTCCTCCTTCCCTCTGTCCTCCCGGTTATCATCGTCATCATCATCACCATCATCATCAGAAGCATCATCATCATTGTCATCAACATCATCATACAGCGACTTGTCGGCATTTGTGAAACAGCCGTGGCCGCAACACCTATGCTCAAGTTCTTGAGGGTATGCAGACCCTGTTTGAACGCCTCGCCCAAGACCTCACCAGTGCGGTCACTACTGCGATCATTGTGCGGGGGAGTTCGTCTCCGTGCCCAGATTGTGTGTGCTCGCCCGCGCTGCGTTGCCCCGCGCTGGAGTGCCACCGCCCTGGCGGCGAGGGGCAGATCACGCCGAGCGTGGCCGCGGGGTAGTCGACGGAGCTCCTGGCGGTGCTGGTGGTGCTGGCTTTCTCCCACGGTGTCCTAGTGGGCGGAATCTATTTCAACAAGTCTCCGACCTCGGCCACCAAGGTGCTTAGAACGCGCGGCTCGTCTAGTCCGTCCGCGGGGGAGGCGCCCAGTACCTGTGCAGGGAAACCACCACCGCGGCGAATTTTGTGACATGTTCGTTGCGTCTTGCATCGTGGTGCGACTTATTTTCTCCGCGCTGGTATCAAAGAGCTCCGTGCCCGCCCGGGGCGGATATTTGAACGGTTACGCCAGCTGCTGGGAAATATGCTGAGCAGTAGCACGACGTCGAGCAGCGCGGCCTTGGGTCAACACGACGGCCACCACAAGCATGACGATGAGCAGTGCGACGATGAGCAGACTGGCACGATGGTGCGCAACTCCGCATACGTGACGCGATGCAGGGCTGAATGAGAAAATTTCTCGGACCGACCTGATTGCCTGAAAAATTGCCCCCTCAAGCTCAGTGTAGCAATCAACCCACGCCTAAAAACGGGCGTGCCGGCCCATCCGCTATCGATTTGGGTTGGCAGGAAGGCCATCGTCTCCACCCGCACCGACGCCAGCACCTACGCAGGCGCGAACGCAAGCGCCGGCACCGACGCCAGCACCGACGCCGAAATCAACGCCTGCGTCCGGGCTGGGCCCCACGCCCGCGCCTGCACCAGCACCGACGCCATCACCGACGCCAGCACCACCGTCAGCGCCTACGCCTGACCCAACGCCAGCGCCTGCACCGGTACCGACGCCCGCATCGACGCCCCCATCGATGCCAACATCAGCGTCGCCTCCTTGCCAGCGCCGACGCCAGCACCGACGCCAGCATCAACACCTGCGCCAACACCAGCATGCTGAATTGTTATGTTGGGATGTTGGTAAACCCTTTTCCGCCTGAGCCAAGGTCCAGCGAAACGTTGAATGCCCGAGGTGATCCACGAATGCTGTGCTATTTCCGTGCGCAACACCCTCTATCCCATTTCGTGGGATAAACCGCTGTAAGGGTGGAGCTAACCTGCTCATGCTTTCCATCATTTATCCCACTTCGTGGGATTGATGTGTTCTCCGCTCGAGCCAAAGCCCAACGAAACGTTGAATGCCCGAGGTGATCCACGAATGCTCTGCTATTTCCGTAACGCGGCACCCTCTATCCCACTTCGAGGGATAAACGGCTGTAAGGACGGAGCTAACCTACTCATGCTTTACATCATTTAGCGCACCGCATTTGATTGATGTGTACCGCCTGCCCCAACACCGTCGCCAACGCTGGGGCCAGTGCCAGCGCCTACGTAAGCACCGACGCCAACGCCTGCACCAACGCAACCGTCGACGCCTGCAACAGCGCCGATGTCAGCACTACGGTTGCAGCAGCCACGCCAGCGCCTACACCTCACCAGCGCCAGCGCCGACACCAGCACCGACGTCAGCTCTGAGGCAAGCACGAACGCCAGCGCCTGCCCTGGCACCAACGCCAGCGCCGACACCCCCACCGATGCCAGCACCGCCGCCAGCACGAACGCCGACACGTGCGCCTACGCCAACGTCCACACCGACGCCAGCATCAACTTCGGCGCCTCACCTAAATCTGCGCCGGCGCCAGCACCGCTGTACCGACGCTGGCGCCACCACCAACAACAACGCCATCGCCTACAGCAGCCCTCACGCTGGCACCAGCGCTGGCTCTAACGCTGGCGTTCCCGCCAGCGCCGACGCCAACACTGACATCAGCATCAACGCCTGCGCCTACGCCAGCATCGACGCCAGCAACGACACGCTAGCAGTCACGCCTGCGCCTAAGCCGGCACCAGCGCCATCGTCTACATAGGCACTTTCGTGAACTGGACGCACCTGGAGTGTGATTCCGCCTCTCTTTCTCCTTCCCTCCCTCTCTCCCCTGCCCCGGCGTCGTTCGGCCCAGCCCTGCATGGTGGCCGCCTGGAGGGCGGGTAGGTCCCGGCGACGCCGACGCTCGGCTGGAGCGGTGGGTGCGTGGACCGACACTACGTCGCTTGGACAGTGTTGTTTGGGCTCCCACTGGCACTCTTTGGTCTGATTTTCGGCTGGGGGGGGGCACGATTTGTCCGCCCACCGCCCCCCCCTGGGGGCCCCACACCCGCGGGGGCAGGAGTCCGCCTCTCTCCCGCTTCTTTCTCCTCCGCTCCCCTCCTCTTGCTGCTGCTGTTGTGGGTTCCGCCCCCCCTCCTTCCTCTCCCGTCGTCTCTGCCCCTTTCCCTCTCCTCCCCTGCCCTCTGCCCTCCTCTGGCTGCTGCTGTTGCTGCTTCCTTCCTCCCTCCCTCCTCCCCCGTCGTCGTCGTCGTCGCTGTCGTCGCCGGGCGCGGTCCTCTGCCTTCCTCGGGTCTGTGGCCCCCCTGCGGGGGGGGGGCATCTGAGGCAGTGGCCTCCGAGTCCGCGCGGGGCAGCTTGGCCGGCGGAGCAGTCGTGGCCATTGCGGCCCGGAGCGCTCGCGGGAATGCGGTTTCACCTTTCCTCTGCCCCCCCGCCCCCCGAATTCAGCGCACGAACCTGGAGCGGGACGTTGCGCTGACGGGCCCTTGGAAGGCCGGCAGATTTTTGCCCGTCTCCAACTGCCCATCGGCCTCCACCCGCCCTGGGGACGGCTACCGCTGCTACCCCGGAGGCGTTCGCACTGACTGGGGTCGTGCGTTTCCCCCGTCCTTTCCTTCTCCTCCTCTTGTTTTTTTTGTTCTCTCTCTCTCTCTCTCTCTCTGCGCTTGCGCTGCCGTGGCCATGTGGGCGCCTAGACTGCCGAGCAGTCGGGCGATGATTTCTCCGGTCTTTGAAAACCAGCTCCAGTGCCCACCAGCCTCAGGGGGCGCGCGACGGCTCGCCTATTGCAGGTTGGCCTGAACGCTGCTCCTAGCTTTGGCTGGTATCTCTTGTCTCGCTCCCTCTCCTCCTCCTCCTCCTCCTCCTCCTCCTCCTCCTCCTCCTCCTCCTCTTCCTCCTCCTCCGCCCTCCGCCCTCCTCCTCCTCCTCCTCCTCCTCCTCCTCCTCCTCCTCCTCTTCCTCTTCCTCTTCCTCTTCCTTCCTCATCGCCTTCCCCTCTTCGGGCTGCCCTTTTCGAGCCACATTGGGGCGGCTCTGGCACGCAGCCTGATGCCTGCCAGGCAGCTTTTCGCCACGGTGTGCACGGGAGTCCATGCGAAACCCCGGTCTCATGTGCAGTGGCGATGGGAACACGCGTCCCCAGGGATTCCAGAATGCGCGCCGAAAGTCATCAGGGTGGCTTACAGCACGTTCTGAAATTATCCCTGTGCGACCCTACCTAGGAGCTGGAGCCCTTAGGAAAGCAGCAGTAGTAGTAACAGTAGGGCTAAGTTAAAGCTAAGATAAAGCTAAGCTAAGGCTAAGCTAAAGCTAAGCTGAAGCTAAGATGAAGCTAAGCTGAAGCTAAGCTAAAGCTAAAGCTAAGCTAAAGCTAAGCTAAAGCTAAGCTGAAGCGAAGCTG